ATATGGTCTTTGTACTCAGTACAAATTTTGCTAATGTAAATGTACAGCAAAATTGTCCCATCTTCAATACAAAAAACCAAAAAAAAAAAAAAAGTAGCGAGTCATTCCAACGATGCCGTTTTTAACAAAATGTTAATTGCTTCACTAAACATGGAGTCTTCCAGCTTGGAGGGTTGACAGATAATTCCCCCACTATTGTCTTACACCCCTGTCCAGTTAAAACTCTCAGCCCAACTGGTTGGGTGAGTCTACTCCACCAAACTATTTGCCCACCGCCGAGGCAGGTCGCCCATATGATTTCACAGTTCAAATATCACGGTGGTTAATTCATTCACGTAAGGAGATTTAAAAAAGTTGGGCTCCATGTCAACAAAAATTTATGACAAAACAAAAATAATCACTGAAATATAATCTCGAATTTAATCTTATATTAAATAATTATAAACAGGTTTCATCAAGTTTTGATCAAAAAGAAAACATCCTAATAACAATTTCTGTCTTGTCAAATATGGCCGACATGTCTCCTTTGAAACAAAATACAATATTACGGTACATATTGTTCATTCTCTACTATTTACAACACTGAAGACACATTCAACAAATAGACTATCCTACATGAACCTCTCATATACTCCATCAGACAAATGGACTATCCTACATGAACCTCTCATATACTCCATCAGACAAATGGACTATCCTTCATGAACCTCTCATATACTCCATCAGACAATTGAACTATCCAGCATGAATCTCTCATTCAACAAATGAACATTACAAAAGCATGAGTTGAGACTTGCACGTTGCATACACCGTGTCGCCAATGCTGATGTCCCCGCTGCTTTTTACCGTAGCCAGGATTCCGACGCTTGAGTAAGGACACGAGGCGGGCAGGCTGAGAACTTGTTCGAGGGGCCTGTATGACTCCACTTCGTAGTCCCATTCCTTGTTGGCCTCGTTGTAGTTAGGCTCTAGGAGACTGTGGGGGGGGGGGGGAGAACAAAATGGAACATTTTGGGTCCCCCCCCTTTGTTTTTAGAAAAAGATCTATAGAGATTTTGTTGTCATTGAAATCTTTCATACAGTAGCTGTCAACATTTGGAACACAAGGAACATCCATGAGCTGTCAACATTTGGAACACAAGGAACATCCATGTGCTGACAACATTTGGAACACAAGGAACATCCATGTGCTGACAACATTTGGAACACAAGGAACATCCATGTGCTGTCAACATTTGGAACACAAGGAACATCCTCATCCATGCGCTGACAACATTTGGAACACAAGGAACATCCATGTGCTGTCAACATTTGGAACACAAGGAACATCCTCATCCATGCGCTGACAACATTTGGAACACAAGGAACATCCATGTGCTGTCAACATTTGGAACACAAGGAACATCCTCATCCATGTGCTGTCAACATTTGGAACAAAAGGAACATCCATGTGCTGTCAACATTTGGAACACAAGGAACATCCATGTGCTGACAACATTTGGAACACAAGGAACATCCTCATCCATGCGCTGACAACATTTGGAACACAAGGAACATCCATGTGCTGTCAAGATTTGGAACACAAGGAGCATCCATGTGCTGTCTACATTTGGAACACAAGGAACATCCATGTGCTGTCAACATTTGGAACACCAGGAACACCCACATGAAGTGAATTATTATTGATTATTTTTTTCATTCATGAATTGCTGTTGTGTATTAGTGTATTGTTGTTATTTTTTGTGTCCCCTCAGAATACTGAAATAAATGTGCCATCAAGTACTGGGAAGTGCCATCAAGTACTGGGAAGTGCCCTCAGAATACTGGAATAAATGTGCCATCAAGTACTGGGAAGTGCCCTCAGAGTACTGGAATAAATGTGCCAAGTACTGGGAAGTGCCCTCAGAATACTGGAATAAATGTGCCATCAAGTACTGGGAAGTGCCCTCAGAGTACTGGAATAAATGTGCCATCAAGTACTGGGAAGTGGCTAGGTGGGCTGCGGAAAATTGGCAATTGCCTTATTGTTCCAAAGAATACTGGGATGTTTTTATGTTTGGCGTACATGAGAAAAGGTCGCATAATGCCACTCAAATAAAATACAGAGCAGATTGTTTTAAACACTTACATTGTCTTAAACTTTCTTTTTTTTTTTATTTAGCAGTATCCTGAAAAAAATCTCCAGCCATATTTAGAGTTTTTACCAATTGTTATTTTTAGATCCCATACCTCACATAACTGGAGACAACTGTAAAGGAGCTGTGGCTGCCGATGAACAAACTTTCCCAATTGAGCTCATCGAACTCTTCACTGTCTGCTATGACGATGTGCGGTCGAAAGTATTCTGTACTCAAGGGCGGGTTGATTTTAAACTGAGGTGCCATGAGGATACAGAGGGGTGCAGATTAATCATATTATTTATAATATATAACAACCAAAAAAGGGATATCATGGGTTAATTAAGGGATATCATGGGTTAATTAAGGGATATCATGGGTTAATTAAGGGATATCATGGGTTAATTAAGGGATATCATGGGTTAATTAAGGGATATCATGGGTTAATTAAGGGATATCATGGGTTAATTAAGGGATATCATGGGTTAATTAAGGGATATCATGGGTTAATTAAGGGATATCATGGGTTAATTAAGGGATATCATGGGTTAATTAAGGGATATCATGGGTTAATTAAGGGATATCATGGGTTAATTAAGGGATATCATGGGTGTTGTATAGGTGTCTTGTTTATGTCATCTTTTCTCGTGCATGAACTTTAACTGGCCCCAAGTTCGGCACTGCAACAGGGTGTGGCTTAATTATAAATAGTCTCCCTTGACCTTGTCTACAAGTAAAAACAATCTATAGTCTTTCGAATTAGAAATCTATAGAATTTCCTAGATGCTGAACCCATTTCTAGAAATGTCTCTGAAAATAGACTATAAATATGCCTTATCGAAATAAACAGACGAGAGAAGAGCTGAGAGCGAGAGAGATGAGCCGATAGAGATTTGCTATTACGATACGAGACAAAGATTTGTTTATTAATATTTAAGTCCCTTCTTCAACATTGTACCGGCACAAGTTTATTACTGTACTGTAAGTGATTCTTTTTGATTTTGTAATTTTAAATTAACTTAATAAATTATTATTTGTTATTAGCCTTAGTTTGGGTATCTTTCTTCACTACAGTATTTGTACGGTATCATCCTTTTGTCGTGTACTATTTGACACAAGCCATAGAGTAAAATAAGAGATGAACTTCTCTAGACTTATAACGGTACATGACAAAATGAATGGATTAAATCAAGACCAAAGAACACGTGCATTAAACAATAAAGTATTGATCACACCTTGACCAAAGAACACATGCATTAAACAATAAAGTATTCATCACACCTTGACCAAAGAACATGTGCATTAAACAATAAAGTATTGATCACACCTTGACCAAAGAACACGTGCATTAAACAATAAAGTATTGATCACACCTTGACCAAAGAACACGTGCATTAAACAATAAAGTATTCATCACACCTTGACCAAAGAACACGTGCATTAAACAATAAAGTATTGATCACACCTTGACCAAAGAACACGTGCATTAAACAATAAAGTATTGATCACACCTTGACCAAAGAACATGTGCATTAAACAATAAAGTATTGATCACACCTTGACCAAAGAACACGTGCATTAAACAATAAAGTATTGATCACACCTTGACCAAAGAACACGTGCATTAAACAATAAAGTATTGATCACACCTTGACCAAAGAACACGTGCATTAAACAATAAAGTATTGATCACACCTTGACCAAAGAACACGTGCATTAAACAATAAAGTATTGATCACACCTTGACCAAAGAACACGTGCATTAAACAATAAAGTATTGATCACACCTTGACCAAAGAACACGTGCATTAAACAATAAAGTATTGATCACACCTTGACCAAAGAACACGTGCATTAAACAATAAAGTATTGATCACACCTTGACCAAAGAACACGTGCATTAAACAATAAAGTATTGATCACACCTTGACCAAAGAACACGTGCATTAAACAATAAAGTATTGATCACACCTTGACCAAAGAACACGTGCATTAAACAATAAAGTATTGATCACACCTTGACCAAAGAACACGTGCATTAAACAATAAAGTATTGATCACACCTTGACCAAAGAACACGTGCATTAAACAATAAAGTATTGATCACACCTTGACCAAAGAACACGTGCATTAAACAATAAAGTATTGATCACACCTTGACCAAAGAACACGTGCATTAAACAATAAAGTATTGATCACACCTTGACCAAAGAACACGTGCATTAAACAATAAAGTATTGATCACACCTTGACCAAAGAACACGTGCATTAAACAATAAAGTATTGATCACACCTTGACCAAAGAACACGTGCATTAAACAATAAAGTATTGATCACACCTTGACCAAAGAACACATGCATTAAACAATAAAGTATTGATCACACCTTGACCAAAGAACATGTGCATTAAACAATAAAGTATTGATCACACCTTGACCAAAGAACACATGCATTAAACAATAAAGTATTGATCACACCTTGACCAAAGAACACGTGCATTAAACAATAAAGTATTGATCACACCTTGACCAAAGAACACGTGCATTAAACAATAAAGTATTGATCACACCTTGACCAAAGAACATGTGCATTAAACAATAAAGTATTCTTTTAGATGAGATGGAGTTTGAAACCAATTGGACTGTGATAGAAATGAAACTCTTAAACAGTGGTAGATCTGTACTGAAATAAACAAGTGGAGAGAGATGGAGTTTGAAACCAATTGGACTGTGATAGAAATGAAACTCTTAAACAGTGGTAGATCTGTACTGAAATAAACAAGTGGAGAGAGATGGAGTTTGAAACCAATTGGACTGTGATAGAAATGAAACTCTTAAACAGTGGTAGATCTGTACTGAAATAAACAAGTGGAGAGAGATGGAGTTTGAAACCAATTGGACTGTGATAGAAATGAAACTCTTAAACAGTGGTAGATCTGTACTGAAATAAACAAGTGGAGAGAGATGGAGTTTGAAACCAATTGGACTGTGATAGAAATGAAACTCTTAAACAGTGGTAGATCTGTACTGAAATAAACAAGTGGAGAGAGATGGAGTTTGAAACCAATTGGACTGTGATAGAAATGAAACTCTTAAACAGTGGTAGATCTGTACTGAAATAAACAAGTGGAGAGAGATGGAGTTTGAAACCAATTGGACTGTGATAGAAATGAAACTCTTAAACAGTGGTAGATCTGTACTGAAATAAACAAGTGGAGAGAGATGGAGTTTGAAACCAATTGGACTGTGATAGAAATGAAACTCTTAAACAGTGGTAGATCTGTACTGAAATAAACAAGTGGAGAGAGATGGAGTTTGAAACCAATTGGACTGTGATAGAAATGAAACTCTTAAACAGTGGTAGATCTGTACTGAAATAAACAAGTGGAGAGAGATGGAGTTTGAAACCAATTGGACTGTGATAGAAATGAAACTCTTAAACAGTGGTAGATCTGTACTGAAATAAACAAGTGGAGAGAGATGGAGTTTGAAACCAATTGGACTGTGATAGAAATGAAACTCTTAAACAGTGGTAGATCTGTACTGAAATAAACAAGTGGAGAGAGATGGAGTTTGAAACCAATTGGACTGTGATAGAAATGAAACTCTTAAACAGTGGTAGATCTGTACTGAAATAAACAAGTGGAGAGAGATGGAGTTTGAAACCAATTGGACTGTGATAGAAATGAAACTCTTAAACAGTGGTAGATCTGTACTGAAATAAACAAGTGGAGAGAGATGGAGTTTGAAACCAATTGGACTGTGATAGAAATGAAACTCTTAAACAGTGGTAGATCTGTACTGAAATAAACAAGTGGAGACCGCGGCCAGGTAATGACGACGGCAATTAGGGTTACGGGAAAAAACCTAAAACAAAACAAGCCCCCCCCCCCCTCATTAAAAAAATGAATGGTTTTCTTTTGCTCGGCACAATTCAGATTTTTAAAAAAAATATTTTTTGAAAATGTAAAAATTCAATTTTATTTTTGGACATTGGAGGCGTTTTGCAGGTTACTTGTTTCACTCATCAAAGTAAGACTTGTACTTGTGACTGCCCCCCCCCCCCTTAAAGGTTTAAACTATATCAACCCCCACGCCGACTTATGCTTACTGACACGACACCCATCCTTACTGACACGACACCCATCCTTACTGACACCACACCCATGCTGACTGACACTACACCCATCATTACTGACTTCACACCCATCCTTACTGACACCACACCCATCCTTACTGACACCACACCCATCCTTACTGACACCACACCCATGCTGACTGACACCACACCCATCCTTACCGACACTACACCCATCATTACTGACACCACACCCATCCTTACTGACACCACACCCATCCTTACTGACACCACACCCATCCTTACTGACACCACACCCATCCTGACTGACACCCCACCCATCCTGACTGACACCAGACCCATGACAAACCCCCTAAATCTATTCAATATGTTATTTTGGCCAGACTCACAAGTTTATTCAGAGCCACCAAAGAACTATCAGGTAGAAAGACGTAGGCCGTGTTTCTCAGCTCCTCAGAGAAGCGCATGAGCAGTCGAAGTCTGGTGTTAGAGAAGCAGCCTTGCAGCCACTCTGCCACCTGATCACCTGGTGGAAGAGCGTTTCATCTTTAAAAAAAGGTGATGGTTTGGTGGGGGGGGGGAGGGGGATTATGCTGATGATAAAGGCTTTCTATGTGTGGCTCTATGACTGTGTGGCTCTGTGTGGCTTTGACTGCGGTTCTATGACTGTGTGGCACTGTGTGGCTTTGACTGTGTGACTCTGACTGTGTGGCTCTGACTGAGTGACTGACTGTGTGACTCTGACTGTGTGGCTCTGACTATGTGACTGACTGTGTAGCTCTGACTGTGTGACTCTGACTATGTGGCTCTGACTGTGTGACTGACTGTGTAACTCTGACTGTGTAGCTCTGACTGTGTGACTCTGTGTGACTGTCTGTGTAACTCTGACTGTGTAACTCTGTGACTGTATAGTTCTGTGACTGTGTTCTAGACAGCCAGACAGAGAGACAGTCGGAGACACAGAGACACACAGCCACAATCACACAGAAACACAAACAGACACACACACACCATCCATTACTCACACTGGCCTAAAAGCTTAAGACCAAGCAAATCTCTACTCAATGACCTACCACAGTCCACTGCCAAAATCTCAACTCAATGACCTACCACAGTCCACTGCCAATATCTCTACTCAATGACCTACCACAGTCCACTGCCAAAATCTCTACTCAATGACCTACCACAGTCCACTGCCAAAATCTCTACTCAATGACCTACCACAGTCCACTGCCAATATCTCTTCATGAAATGTTATTAGTCTTACGGGATTTGTCTCGGGGACCGCCAAACAAAATCTGAAAAATAAAGCAAGAGTTACTGTTACTGTTACTGGGGTTTGTAACAACCTTACAGCATGGGGGTGTGTCCCAGATAAATCAAACATGCATGGCACAGCCCCACAATCGAAAACTTGTAGTACTAGAGAGTTTCTCATCGGAGGACTGAAATAAATTTGAATGAACAGGGCTCATCAAGTTAGGGTTAGGGTTTAGGTGAGTGTTTAGGGTTTGGGTTTAGTTTAAGGATTAGGGTTTAGGTGAGTGTTCAGGGTTTGGGTTTAGTTTAAGGATTAGGGTTTAGGTGAGTGTTCAGGGTTGGGGTTTAGTTTAAGGATTAGGGTTTAGGTGAGTGTTCAGGGTTTGGGTTTAGTTTAAGGATTAGGGTTTAGGTGAGTGTTCAGGGTTTGGGTTTAGTTTAAAGATTAGGGTTTAGGTGAGTGTTCAGGGTTGGGGTTTAGTTTAAGGATTAGGGTTTAGGTGAGTGTTCAGGGTTTGGGTTTAGTTTAAGGATTAGGGTTTAGGTAAGTGTTCAGGGTTTGGGTTTAGTTTAAGGATTAGGGTTTAGGTGAGTGTTCAGGGTTTGGGTTTAGTTTAAGGATTAGGGTTAGGGTAACGGTTTAGGGTTAGGGAATCAGCGTTAAGGAATCCTTTAGTTGAGTCAAAAGGTTAACAACCTTACTGATTAAGATGAAGCATTTGTCCGGAGTCATTTCTCAGTCATGACTAACTGCTGCAACAGAAGGCGTCGGCTGCGTGAATCCATATGCAAGGGGTGGGGGGGGGGTGTGATAGACATGTTGTCAGTACGACAGATTCTATCCTTCCTTATTCCACAACCCTTCATGTGATCAAAGTTAATTTTCCAGCTGTATGTCATGAATTCAACATATGATGCAAGTAGGGAGTTGCTTCCCATCATACGATGCAAGCAGGGAGTTGTTTCCCCTTATATGATTTAATCTTCTTCCATTCTTATTTCAATATAATCCCAGATGTATTATTTCTTTAACTTAAATATAAGATTATCTCAGGATCTCTTTGTTGTCCCACAACTCGAATTGATGAACGCAAGCGCCAGGAGTAAATCATTGGACGGGTTGATTTATTGCATTTTTATTTGTTGTTCTTTCCCCTTCTTTTGACACAATTTACCCACAGTACTTTGGGGGTGGGTGGTGGGGGGTTAAGGTATAATTTCCTAACTTATTTTGTTAACGGTTGTCCACATACTTGACTTCTCCTTTGTCTGGATAAGACAGGGTTAAGTTTTTTCCGTCCAGTTGAAATTTGATTCTCTCCAGGTCTGGAGAGTGGTACTGGTCAGCATTATTTTTTTCATCTGTTCAGGAACAAAACAGTACATGGCATTTAGCTCTCTTGTTTATTAAGGGTGTATTGATACACTGAAAGTGTGAGACAGTTACATTAGCTCCTGGCAACGAATGGGATAGTTAGTTAACTGTCTTGTTTATTAAGGGTGCATTGATACACTGAAAGCACAAGGCAGGAGAGTTACGTTGGCGCCAGTCAACAAATGGGATAGTTAGTTAACTGTCTTGTTTATTGTGTCGCTGTGTTGTGAACACATTTAAGACGTTGTGTTTTAAGTTATCCAAATGTTCAGGTCCAAAAATGAACATGCGCCACAGCCAACCCCCCACCCAAATTTTGAACCCATTTCTAGTAAGCTGCTCACTTGAGGCTTCCAACCAATCCATTAGCATAACCACTTTTATTGCCTGTCAATCAAATAATATGACTCTGCTTACGAATCCTGTTAACTGTCAATCAAAATTTCACCCATTCTATGTACTCCCATGTCCTGTCCATCAAACATTTCACCCCTTCTATGTACTCCTATGTCCTGTCAATCAAACATTTCACCCCTTCTATGTACTCCTATGTCCTGTCAATCAAACATTTCACCCCTTCTATGTACTCCTATGTCCTGTCAATCAAACATTTCA